TTAAAAAGTTATTTTTAAAGATAGCCATGTAAAGCATAGAAATGTGTGTAATTACAGTTAGGACAATGTTTCTGAAAAGATACGTATCTGGGGGAAATTTGGAAGGGAAAACAACTGAAAAAACAAACACTTTTTAAGGGTGGTAAATAAATGATGAAAGAAAGTATTTCTTTTTTAACTTTCTAAGTGCTTTTTTTTTACCATATACATATATTTTTAAAAATTTGTTTGTTTTATTTTATTTGGTTTATGTGGGGGGTAATTAGGTTTATTTACTTCTTTATTTTCAGAGAGGGGACTAGAGATTGAATCCAGGACCTCATGCATGCTAAGCATGTGCTCTACCCTTTGAGCTATACCCTCTGAGCTATACCCTCCTACCCACCACCATATACATATTTATATGAGTCATATACTTTTGTGTCCCCACCAAAACAGCCTACCTCCACATATCTACTTCTATCATGTTATTAAAACATATCATTACGTTTACCTGTACTTAATTATTACATCTCTCCCTACCAGGCAGTGAACCCCTTGAGTCTTGTTCTTTGTATTCCCAGTTCCAAACATAGGTCTGGAACATAAAAGGTCATTTCATAATTGTTTGATCAATGGATGTATTACTGAATGAATAGATAGACGAGTATATAAGATTTTCCAGATCTTAGCTATTCTTGGTGTATAAATTATACACTTGGAAATATTCCTAATGCTGTCAGACATTGTAGGAAAGTTTTCAATCTCTTACCTCTAACCTCCACTAGCCAAAGAATTTCTAGCAGTCTTTGAGATCCAGAATCCAAGTGTCTGGCTCAGCTACTTGGCCAGTATGGAGAAAAGAAATAGAGCATAGAGAAATTCTGCTTTGGCTGGACAATTGTGTTATACACTATAATTTCAGCCTGCATTTACCCAGATTCCACAGACCAGTATGTGTATTCCACACTTAACAAAAAAAGTAAAAGCCTCAGAAAGACAGTCTGAAAAAAAAATGTAAATAAGGGGCATATTTATCAGGACAATATACCCAATATGGAAAGTCTTTTATATTTAGATTTTTCTCTGGATAAGCAAAACATTTACAAATGTCCCTGAAAACACAAATGGCCCACTGGGTTGTCAATTAGTGAGGGAAACAGAATAATTAGGAGGGAGATTTTTGTGTGTGTGCCAAATGAGAGAAATAAACACTCAAGAATTCAATACATAGGAATGTTGTGGTGTCCGTTCAAACTCCAAACCCAGAAAAAACTTTCAAATAGAAAAGGATCTTGAACAATTAGAAAATCTATGAGGATAAACTTGTTATTGTATGTTTTCTGTGGTGGGGCCTGTGTTTTAAACAACATACTCCCCCTCAAACACAAAATACATCTGCTGAGAAAAAGAAAGGAAGGAACGGAATAGGAGGAAGAATGAAAGAACCTTCAGAAAACACTGAAAGGTGCAAAGGAAAACAGCTGCAGGCCTTTGTAACCGTGAAAGGCATGATGATGATGTTCTCAGGGTGAGGATGCTCAAGGTTTAGCAGTGGGACTGACAGTGACCACCAGTATAACCCAGCAGTAGGGCTCTCTGAATCTCAGTTATTTCATTTATATAATGAATATAAAATATATCTCACAGGTTGATTTAAGAATTAAATATGGCATATGTAATGCACTTTATAAAGGACTTATCACAATGCCTGACTCATAACACTCAACAAATTTTTACCTTGTATTATGGCCAAACTTGTCATCATGTCATTACTATCAACTGTACCAGTGCTGATGACTGATCCCATTAGGGCCCCTCTCCTGGGGTGAGGAACTGTAAATGAGAAACAGTTGGAACATTATCAGTAAAATTTTCTGTGGTTAAGCTGGCTCCATTTAAACTATAGATGGGGTAAGTACCTGTTAGGAATGAATGAGGATTTAAGCATAGGCCCCAGCCATCTCTGTGGGTTGTTGGAAGCGCTGTCCTGGGTTTAGAGTCTCTGAGTCTTCTTTGTGTGGATGGAGCAAATGGTCTCTACTCTGAGACATCTACTTAACAGGGACAGAGCAAGGTGTGGCCCTTTACTGAGACACAGCCTGTGTGCCAACACTGAGCTCCCTTTAGGGATCATCCAGAGAAATTCCCACCAAGAACCGCCTTCTCAAGGATGTCTAGACCTTTGGAAAGTTCTAGTTATCATCCCAAAGTTTATCAGGACTTCCTCGGCTACGTCCAGCAAATAAACTGGACTCCGCCCCCTTGCGTCACATCAACAGTTAAGCATGTCTGATTTCTTTTTTAATTTTAATTGAAGTATAGTCAGTTTATAATGTGTCAATTTCTGGTGTACAGCATAATAGTTCAGACATATGTTTGATTTTCATCATTACATTGATCACTATCTGGTATCTTACTTACGTCTTTTGGAGAGAGGGTTAATTGTTTATCTGCCCTACATTTATCACTACCCAATGTTGTTTGTGCATTTTTACTTGCTTATTGACCATCTGCACTTCTTACACGCACTCACCAGGAGAATGTAAATTCCTTGACAGCAGGAATCATGTTTGCCTTATTCACTGCTGTATAAACTAGCACACTCTCCCGACAGGGGAGCAGAAGAGATTCTGCCCAGAGACACCAGGCATGCAATAGGCATCTTGATTTGTCAGAGTTGCAGGAATGCATCCCCAAGAGAACAAAGGGCAAAGGGCCATGAGCCCTTTATACACCCACCCTCAGAATTTCATGTCAGGAAATAATGAACCAGGTCTCCCATGGCAAGAATATATTTGTTGTCCTTTGTCCTTTCTCTTTCCTCTCTTCCAAACCATCAGCCTGGCTTTGAAGCATTATACTTCCCCCATATAGCCCTTCCATAACAGGCTACAACTCCCATTGCAAAAGCAACTATGAGCATCTTGCTGCTCTCTTACATCTGGAACACACCAAAAAGCACTGATTGTCAGTGCATAAGGCTACCTGAAAATCTGCCGTATCTCCAGCTGCTACGTTTTTCAGGCTGTCTAGGATATTTAATGCAATGCAGTCTTATCCATTCTCTTTATACAAGCAAGTTGCCATCCTTGCCTCACTACACTAAAGTGCTTTTAGTATCCTGTATCCCTTCAGGATCCATTCCTCCCCAGGAGGGAAGATGTGAGCTGTGCTCTGATGGGTTCTTGTCTGTAAAGGGTGACCTTGAAAGGTCCGGCAGAAAGTGGCCTCTTCAGTCTTAGGTGCTTTGCCTTGGCTGTGCCTGCTCATAAAGTAAGCTTTCATGCCACGGACCCTGGTATTCATAGCATTGTCACATCGGGAAGAGACAATGCTTCACTCTTGCCCTAACCTGCTGTTAAACAAGAAAAAGAATGTCAGAGGCTGGAACAGTAAGTGATGTGGCATATTCTGAGGGCAGAAACCCACTTCCATGGAATAGGAACACCTGCCTCATTTAAAGCTACCATATGACACATGGTTTCACAAGTGTTCAGAAAACTTCATTTACTTTACGAAACTCAATTAATTTTTGAGCCCCTCCTTTGGGGAAAACAAAACTGCAGCTATAGTGAAGGCATGAGTAGCAGTTTTTTGTGTGACAAGAAACAGAACCAAGAAAAGATCAGCAAAGATGAACTTGAAATGGACGTTCAGACACTGGTTTTTGGAAGCAGGTGCAGTGTTGCCTCTCTCCCTGGCCTGACCCCAGCTGTCAATGCCTATCAGAGCCTCCTTCCCTCTCACATGCCCTCACACAGTGTCAGGCCTTGCACAGAGTTAGAGGTCATGTTCTCAGGACAGCATGGACCACCTTTACAGCAGACAATGAAAAGACATCATAATGGGGAAATGAGTCATGGAGGAGGATGTGTGCACTTTGACGATGGTCTGTAACAGGAAAATACTTGACCTGTATAGCTGCTTTAGCGCATCCACTCACATCCACCCTTACCCACCCATACCCACCCATACTGACCCTGGGGTGCTCCGACGGTCCACTGTCCACCAACTTCACACTCCGCACATCAGGTTAATGCTGGCATCCACCTCCCCTACTAAACAAATTAAGCAAGTCTCCAGCTCTCCACTGCCACCCACTTCTTTTTTCCACCTTCCCTCCTTCTCTACAGAAATAACTAGCTGATTACTTACTAATCCTTCTGTTAGTGAAGACTGCACCCTCACTGTAAAACCTTATACCGAAATCTGTAAGGTTTTGTAACACTAAGAGAGAAAAAAATTCGAAGCCAGCTACCAAAACTTTCCTGAAGGATAGAAATATCCAAGGTCTAAAAATTATCTTAAAGGGATGGATTCCGCACCGTCATTCCCCTTTTCTCCTTACTCCCAGTTGCCTATTATGAAAGATCGGTAGGTAACCTTAGGAGTGAAAGATAAATTCTGTGACAATTAGGTGTCTTCCTGGGAGCTCCTTGGGCATGCAGGAGTAACTCGTGCGTGTGTGTGTGTGTGTGCGCGCGCGCGCCCGCCTGTGTAAAGAGGTCCGGAGAGGCGAAAGGGTGGCAGGTTTTTACAGACCCCGGTTCTGTTCCTCTGGCCACCTGGTCCCAGGTTGCTGCGTCCCGGGGGCGGCGCGCGCGGCGCCCAGGCGATGGTGTGACACGGTGGGGTGTGACTGCGAGCCCCCCGCGCACGCCGTCCCCACCCCCGCACCGCGCGCAACCCACGCGCCTGACTGGCGGCCGCCGCCGCAACCCGACTCCGGAGGCGCATAGCGCGGGGCGCGGAGCGGGAGAGGCGGGCGG